TGAAACATCGCTGAATATTGCTATTCCCTCATACAATAACACAAACTAGACCAGAACTAACAAGACATGTGAACTGTGCAGTCAAAACATGCAGCCCACAACAAAAACAGAGAACGATCCAACTAAAGCAAATGTTCCACACATATTCGGGGCTCTGAACTGAAATTGTCGTATTGAAGACCTTTTGGCGCTGTTCGCAGCTCTTTCCTTCTTAATACCTAAGCCCCTACAGTTTCAGAGCTAAACTGTCGCGAAAATGGAGGAAAGTGTGAACATGTGGCAATGAGCCACCTAAGTAAGTCACCTTGGCATTCATAACGCCAGAACAACGCCATTCAGATCGTGCCATTTCAAGATCAACCCATGCGGCGATCAAAGCCAAGCACAGGTATTATCGTCCAACCGTTCATATATGATGTTCGTGGGCGTGGTTTCCAGGTATAACTGCCGTCAATTGGCTCTCGATCAAGGCTGTGAAGGCACGATGACGAAATCAAACCATGACACATTGGGAAGCATATTTGCTGAGCAGATAATCGCGCTGTCTAGAGCAGTCTTTTCCACCTAAAAAACATACCAAAAGTGATATGTGACCTTGTTTCATCATATCTGATATTGCTTCAATATTTTCAAAGGTGAAACATTCCCTTTCACATCGTACGAGCACGGAGCTCTAAAAGTTTGACATGCTCCGTTAGCCGTACTTAACTGAGCGTCGCACGCAGTTTGCACTTTCTTTGTTTCTTTTGCCTGTAAAACAATCATTAGAAACATTCGAAATGTGTATAATTTTGAGCTTTTATCTTTACTGTGCTGCATGTACATGCTTCGGCTCCAGAAGGCTGGGGGACTCACCGTGGGGGGAGGGAGGAGGCAAACTGAATGCGGGGAATCGAACCTCGTACCTCTGGTCTCCCAGATGTGCAATGGTTAACACAGACGCGCTAACCACTGGGCCATTGGCACCCTGCCGCGGCCCAGGGGACTTTGGCGCCATACTGCGCATCAACCAGGGGACTTCAACAGGGGACATCAACAGGGGACTCATTCACGCGCATCAACCAGGGGACTTAGGCGCCGTCCTGCCAGACCAGTGACAGGCGCTTGGGACCCCAGGCTGCAGGGGGGGGGGGGGGGGGGGGGGCGGAATGCCCTTCAGCTACTTACTAGAAAGAGTTTTACCCATACAATATCGAAACTGAGTGTGTGAAAAAAATGATCAATTTGAGCCACACGAGTAATATACATTAAGCCATTACGTCATGAGTTTAAGATGCTGAGGCCACCAATAGTGCAGTAGTTAAGCTTCACTTAAAAAAAACCAGATGTACGTGGTTCGATTCCCTGCAATGCCCGTTTCCTGGCCTGTCTGCCCCTGAATAAATGGCGTGTGTGCCTCTCGCTAGGGTGACAGGCATACACGCCATTTAATCTCAGCAGCTGAGTGTGTCGTAGAATCCCAATGGTACAGTAAGTTCGCGGTGCCGCACATGATAATCCGTTCCTAATATCAACTTGAACATCGCACAGGTGAAGTGAGTTGTCCGAGATACTTTCTACGCGTATACCAATTGATCTCCTAAAGCGTTAGACAGCTCTTCTCGATGCGCGGTAGCTTTCACCACCCGTTGGCTGGCGTCAGCTGTTCCCTGGGAAGACGACGCCGTGTGCCCATGGAGACTGCAACGCCGAGCCGCTGATTGAGGGCGAAACTCCCTTAGGTTAACAGGCACTGGAAACACGACACATTTTGGCCTTGTCTCGATCATTGATCTATGGCGTTTAATTCACGGGTCCCTGAGTAATCGTTAATGAGAAGGGCCGAACAAAGCGTCGTTCATGTGCCACCAGGGCTTATCCGATGCAACCATTTGATCCCTGCTATTCATTTCAGTTACATCTTAGTTCGTCCGCAGTTAACTTATTACTTCACTATTAGTCAATTTCGACATAAGTAAAACAACAAAGTTGACCTCTCGAATTAAAGTGGCCTGAATCTGGCCGGCCATTTCGTCTACAGATAGTTGACCGGCTACACAGCAAGACCCTTTAAATGAAGAGGCAAAAATCCAAGGAATTTTGTTGGGGGAGGGGTGAAACGGTAGGTGGGACGTGAAGCTCTATCGGGTTACAAGTGAATTGCGTTCCTTCCCGTAACCAAATCCTGGATCCGCCCCTGATCAGAGCACACTTAGAGCGGCCCTTAGCGTTGCCGCAGGCCTCATCCAGCTCATATCTTAACTGCTGACCGTCTAGCTTCCGATGCCGAATGCAGTTTGAACCGGATCAGCAAGCATGCCCCATATCCAAAACAAGCCGCATGCCTTCTCCCCTTCTTCGACGGCTCCCGCCGCGCGCGGGGGGCCGGGACGGTAAACAGGGTGGGGGCTGAGGGGACCTTGGAATGGTGTTGGTCAGCTGGACTGCCGTCGCTAGAGCGTAGGAATTTCGTAAGAACGAGTCCGAATACTCGGAATGCCCGTCATCAAGATGGTGCTATTTTAATACCGACCTAACATAACTATCGCTAAAAATCCTCTGACGCATATTTTTCTCAAATGACCGAAAAGTGAAAAGATGGATATGTTATCTCGAACAGCTTGAAAACGACAAAATAACACACGGTGTGCGCTGGACAAGTGCGCCGGATTTTGCAGCGGATCACGCGCTGTCCGTGGCCTTCTGTTTTTCTCGTTGTGTTTAAGGGCGAGGCGCGTCGATTTTCGATGTTCATGACCTTTAGGGTCTTTTGTGATTTGTATTTTGTTGTTTTTCAGTAGCCAAGGGTGTTAGCTCATGTCTGAAGATAGAAATTTGGACGAAGATCCTTACGGGGATCTTTGGATTTGGGAAAATCAGTGCTTTGAGGAGGTTGAAAATCAGCCAAATTATGAATCACAACTCCAGCAAGAGAGGGATCTAGTTAATCAAAAGCTTTGGCATTTATTCCAAAATTCAGCAACATGCATTGCACAGCTTCATAAAGGTAAGGTCGTGCAATATGCACTGGTAGGGTGTGATCATTGTTCTTGAAGTGTACAGCACAGTGTTGTGGTTCCATTATTTTATATGTAGTTAGGTGGAGTGTATCCAACTCCCAAAATATTACATGCCTTACAACACATTTAAAGGTTGTCCTGGATAATTTTCTGTGGAAACAACAGCATTCAAATGGTAGTAGTTTGAGTCATTTTCACCTGTCTCTGCCACCCATATCCAACCAATTTGGAAAAACTACCTTACCTTTTTACCCACTTGAGTGGCAGTCTTGCATAGGGGTGGCTGCTCTTTTCAGCACTCAAAATTACAATATGAGCCTTGATGCAATTTTCTGTTTTACGGGATGAAGCTAGACAATGGCTTAATGGCAAGCTACTCTCCATGCCTGGCAGCATTAATTTGCTTGCTGCATTCCAGCTGCCTTGATAATTTGCTTGGTATGCTTATGTCTTGCTTCTGGTTCAGTATTGCACTCATGTCACAATTTTCCTGGAAGATTAATAAAAAGATAGTGTGGTCTCACTGCTGGGGTCATTGGGCATGTGTATGCGGGCGGCAAAGGATTCATTGTACACAGTATATGTCAGGTGTAGCAGCAGATATTATGGCAATAATTTCAGAGAGCTTGCATCATGAATGTGAAGGCTCAGAGTAAAGTGTATGGTCACCACCAATTCCAGAGAGTAGAGAGCTGGTGATGGGGATTGCAGTGCTAAGTTAATATCAGGTGCAAGTGCTCACAGGGCATTTTTACAAAAAAGGCATGAAATTTCAGCATAATTGAGCTAGGCTTAAGTTAGGCACATACCATTGCAAGGTTTAGCTGATCAATGTTGTCTTATGCAGTGGATGTATTTTTGCAGACTGAATGCAGCTAACTTAGTGACGGAGGCCATCATGGCAGCAAAATTCACACTTGAAATCTTTAATAGATGTAAATTGATTGACAAAAGCATAGTCATAGGGCCATTTAATCTAATGTTTAGGCTCTTTGGTTTGCTGTTGTGGCTTTATTTTGTGTGCTGTTTAGTTATGTGTGGCTTGGCTTCAATGAATATGTGAATAAGTAAGTATAAATAGTAATAAAACAAGGTTATGTTCATAGCTATAAATTTCTTGCAAGTAATATAACTAGCAACATTGTGATCACTAGGTACCTGGTATGTAACTATGGTGTGATATATCCCAGGGGCGACACAACTATCTGGGATGGGGTTGTGCTCTTGGTAGATAGGCATATAATGCATATCATTGAATTGTGTCTCTCTAACATCTTCTTTATATACCAGGCTCTCTAAGCATCTTTCAATTAATTTTGAGTGGTTTTCAATATTGGATTTGGGTTCAGAATGCTTACTGGGCAAAGCTTGTTTGTATGCATCCTTAGCAAGGAATCCAAGTCCAAGGAATGCCGATCCAGTTCATCAGATAATGCCGCAATAAGGTTTTATCATACAGGACTGCACATGTGTTTTCCTTGCCATGCAGCACTGATGTGGCTGCTTCGGCTGGGCTTTCCAGCTAGCTGCCAGCTGACCTTTTCTTGTCAGTTTGGTCAAGCAATGTGACATTTGAGGGCTCTTACCTGGTACTGCATAAATCCCTTAAGCTATGTGCAAATGCTTGAAGCTTTAAGAGCTGTGATATCATTCTGTTCTGCCCGCCTGTAATGCTTGCAGAGTTGTCATTTGTGTTTTTACAAGAAATTTTAAGGAACAACTATGCTGATGACCATAGTGCTGATGTGGTTTCTTCATACTATGAATGCAGTCATGGCATAAACAACACCACTCATGCTGCCAAATGGATAAGCTCAGCAGAGAACATTTTATGGTGGATGTGTTTGAGTTTGTAACACACTTGTATGTGTAAGGCACATTGTTATTGAGAATGCCTGTCTCAGGAAATTGGTCTTAGTCTGGACATGACACAAACTCATACTGTGAGCTGCCCTCATTGTGCAGGTGAAAACTGACCAGCCTTTCCCCATCTCATCACAGGCACCTCCTCCACTGGGATGGTGGAGCGAAGCTCGCGCTGGATGCCGTTCCAGACGGCCGCCGGCTCCGTCACGGCCCTGTACAAAGGTCAGCATCCCCACACCCCTCCCCACCCTGTCACTGCCCCACACGAAAGGTCGGAGTGCGGTCCTCACGCCGTGGCGCGGCCCGGCTCACCGTCGGTGCTGTCTCCGCACAGAGCGGCCCGGCTCAGCCGTCGGTGCTGTCTCCGACACAGATTCGGCCCGGCTCACCGTCGGTGCTGTCTCCGCACAGAGCTGCCCGGCTCACCGTTGGTGCTGTCTCCGCACAGAGCGGCCCGGCTCACCGTCGGTGCTGTCTCCAGCACAGATCGGCCCGGCTCACCGTCGGTGCTGTCTCCGCACAGAGCTGCCCGGCTCACCGTCGGTGCTGTCTCCGCACAAAGCTGCCCGGCTCACCGTCGGTGCTGTCTCCACACAGAGCGGCCCGGCTCACCGCTGGCGCTGTCTCCTGTCCATGGCAGTCACCGTTGGGACGGCCAGCAGGCCCCAGCTAATGGGACAGAACGTTGCCACGATGAGATGGGCGTGCTCGTCGATGTGGTGGACTGGTGTTGGTGTTGTGCAAAAGCTGGGCCAGTCCCGACATCTTCGGTCTTGTGTTTTGGATGATATGCCGAGGTTTGGGTACAATGAACGGGCGAAGTGGAAAAGGCGTAAGAAACTCGGATGGCTATAGCTGCATGTGGTACATCTATGGTTGCTGGGAAGTGTCATGCCGATAGTGGCACTGTGTCAGATGACATGGTCAGATAAAAGGAATGATGTAATCCGAGGGTCGAATCCCATCCTTGCATATGATATTGCCAATCTTGTGCGAACATATTCCATAGAAACATTGGCGAATCGAGTTAGGTTAATTCAGCTTAAGCAAAAATTTTGGCTCGCTAATTTTGTGTAAGAGCAAACTGCATGGACTTTTTTGTAGCGTGTCTTGCGTAGAATGGGGCCGTCTTGTCGTGTTCGGTATTGTATGGTGCTCGCTCCCACGACTTGAACCCTCCGCGTGCATGTACACTGAACTGTGCTTCAGTCGGGCCGATTCCTGAATCGGGCGTCGCCGATCGGTCGCCCTCAGATGGTAAGCGTCAGGCACCATACCAATAGTGTGCCAAGGGATCGGTGTAGCCATCTGTGGTGGAAAACAGAGCCGGTGACATTCGTTATTAGGGAATCGAGCCGGGTAACATCGATATAGAGGCCTGAGTGCCGTCAGTTTATCGCCCTAATCACGCAGAGAGCCGTCTCCTTCATCAAGTGTAGCTACTGCCGAGGTTTCTTGTTGGCTTTCCAATATGCTGCTCATCCCCCTCCGTCGGCTGTGCGGTCCATGGAGGGGCCCTCGCCGAGTGGTCCGGCTCGCAAGTTCGTCACGTGACTGGTGACGCATCGTCAAGCATTCGGTGACGTGTGGTCACGTGCCGCGCCTGTGTCGCAGTTAGCACGGGCGCAGGCAGTGTTGCAGTCTGCCAAGTGCTACAGTCTCCAACTGTTCCTGCGCCAAATGTGACATGACTGACATGCCAAAAGTTGCAGCTCCCCCTCCCCCCCCCCCCCAAGCTGGTGACGTGGCCTTTGATGAGCGCCGCCTCGGTCGGGCAGAGTCAATGGACGGCATCCGGCGGTGTACCGAGCTGGGCGTGCTGCACGGCCAGCAGCGGCGCACGCGCGACCTGGCCACCTTCCTGCGCCGGCGACGCCTCATCCGTCGCGAGGATCTGCTGGCCTTCCTGTGCGGCAAGCCGCTGCCGCCGGCGCTGGCCGGACGTCACGGTCACAGGTCAGGCTGGGCGGGGACGCAGTTCACTCATGGGCACAGGTCAGGCTGGGCGGGACGCAGGTCAGGCTGGGCGGGTACGCAGGTCATTCATGGGTACGGTATCGTGTAGATTGTCGCAGGGAACTGGAGAGTGCGGTGTCACAGCTGGCGCAGAACAGTACGTTAGAGCGGTAGTGGTGAAACAAAATGCCAAGGTAGATCAGACACGGATTAGGGAAACACTGAACAGAAGTACCAGAGGACGAGGGGAAGGGAGGAAGGGAGCTGTAGCCTCCGCGGAAATGACGCAGGGCGTGCTGTTCAAATGGGGCGGGGGACGGGGAAGAACAGGGCGGGAACGGGAGGGGGATCTGTGGGTGGGCTGGTCTGCCATGTGGAAGAAGCAAGGCGTGCTGTTGATCTGGAGTGGGGGACGGGGAAGTGCGGGGCGGGAAGGGGTCTGTGGGTGGATGACATCCCACCAGTCACCTTGTGCCCAGTACGTCCCCGTCTTTGCGGCCATCTGGTAGTATTCTACACAGCGTTTCGTGGCGTACGTGCGTGGGGCACTGCGCCCGCTCAGTGTAGACAACGAGCCCCTGACTTAGCTGTGCCGGGGATGTATGCCTGTGGCCCGCCGCCCTCCAAGACGTCTTCCTAGCCGTCAGCAGGTCATCAACTCGCCTGCACGTCTCTCTGACCCCGTCCGTGACCCTCCGCCTGTCGTCATGTCTTTCTCCCCGTCCGTGCGTCTCTCTGACCCCGTCCGTGACCCTCCGTCCGTCAGCACGTTTCCCTCCCCTCGGTCCGTCGCCATGTCCCTCTCCCCGTCGGTACGTCTCTCTGACCCCGTCCGTGACCCTCCGTCCGTCAGCACGTTTCCCTCCCCTCGGTCCGTCATGTCCCTGTCCCCGTCCGTACGGCTCTCTGACCCCGTCCGTGACCCTCCACCTGTCGGCAGGGCGTCGCCGCGGCCTGTACGGCTCTCTGACCCCGTCCGTGACCCTCGGTCCGTCGGCAGGGCGCCGCCGCGGCCTGTACGGCTCTCTGACCCCGTCCGTGACCCTCCACCTGTCGGCAGGGCGTCGCCGCGGCCTGTACGGCTCTCTGACCCCGTCCGTGACCCTCCGTCCGTCAGCACGTTTCCCTCCCCTCGGTCCATCGCCATGTCCCTCTCCCCGTCCGTACGGCTCTCTGACCCCGTCCGTGACCCTCGGTTCGTCGGCAGGTCGTCGCCGCGGCCTCACCTCGGCCTGGTGGACCGGACATCACCACGTCTGGGCGGCGCGTCCATCCTGGTGACGGCCTCGCCGGCGTCGACGCAAGCTGCCGACGGACTGCAACCGTTCAGGGACGCTCTGGCCCTCTCCAGTGAGTTCAGGGACGCTCTGGCCCTCTCCAGTGAGTCGCACGGAGCTGCGCTCAGCCAGTGCCCTGCTACCGGTGACGCTCGAGCCCCTCATGCGTGAGGCTATTTGCTACCTTCGCTGGACAGGGGTTGGCCCAGCTCCCTCCGTTTTCGCAGGTGCTTCTCGAATCGTCCAGGGCATCATGACGAAATGCCGGGCAGGTGCTTCACGGCTGCTCTATGCCAGACCTTGCAATTTCAAGTTTTACTTTTTCAGGTTAACACCTATGATCTCTCATTTAAAGCCTGGCTTGGCGAAAATGTGAAACTGCGACAGACGACGCATTCGTCGCTCTGTGGGTACCTTGTACGCTTGTTTGGTGTTTCTGAAGATGTTAAGCTTAGTCGTTTCTCGAACGCCACGAGTTATGACCTTTTCTAAGGTCATTCGAAGAAGACAGCTCGCTGACGCATGCCACTGGACTGTAGTTTTGAAGTCAAGGGCACGTCAAGCCACGCTTTCAAGACCGTCCATACAAGACGTGGACTTCCAGTGTGTCATTGATGCCGTCGTATGTGGGGACCTGAAGTTCAGGGTGAGGGTAAATGTGGTAAATGTCACAAGTGATAATGGCCCCAGGTAAATGTCATGGACGATCGTGGCCTGGCCCTAGGCGGCCCTTCGAACTAAACGACAATACCATTAGGTCCTGGTCAGTCTTCCCGCCTGGCTACATGCAAGGCTTCGCAGACAAGTATGCGATTCCGTGGGCTGGGTCCTGGCGCATCATCAGCAAGCGGCAACACAGAGTGGCGCATGTGACAAATTACAGATCACACACGAGAAGCCACGGCCTGGTTTTTGGCATTGCCGCCGTAGCCCAGTAGCGTGGAGCCGTCGGGGGGACTTCGCGCCCTCCGCGTAAGCCGCCGAAGGCAATCGACGTGGCCGAAGATGGCTGATCGCTTTTCGGACGGGCTCCAGTGAGTGGCGGTACCACCGGGGTCGCACCAAACCCCTGCTGTGAGATGGCAAGCGTCCATTGACGCTGCCAAGCGTTCATTGCCGCTGCCAAGCGTTCATTGACGCTGCCAAGCGTTCATTAACGCTCCTCTGCAGTCGGTGGTGTCGCCCCTGACGACGTCCTGGCGTCGTTGTAATGAAAACCAGTGCGCAACGTTCATTCGAAGTCAAACCCCGTCCTTTGTGTGACGTACAGGGTTCTGTTGTTGTGTTTTCTTTCTTTTTTCTTCTGTCTCGTTTTCTCGTTCTCATGCTGCAATGCTCACGCTGACCACGTGCGGTTGGTGTGTCTGGCGTCTGTTGATGTGGCGGTCCTATGCTGCCACGAGGTCCGAGCTGCCGCGCTGCGGCCGTGCTGCTTGTGATGCGTTGTACTAGTTACTCCCAGAAACTTGGCATTCCTGCCCGGGCCGTACCTATGTCCAGTGACGACTGACCTTTATCCCGTTCCACCTGACCCGTGTCCAGTGACATCTAACCTGTGTTCAATGACATCTGACCTTTATCCCGTTACACCTGACTTGTGTCCAGTGACACCTGATCTGTATCCCGTTACACCTGATATGTGTCCATTGACACCTAACCTGTGTTCAATGAACCTAACCTGTGTTCAATGACACCTGACCCGTGTCCAGTGACACCTGACCTGTGTCCCGACACACCTGACCTGTATCCAGTGACACCTGGTCTGTGTCCAGTGACACCTGGCGTGTGTCAAGTGACACCTGATCTGTATCCCGTTACACCTGACATGTGTCCATTGGCACCTGACCTGTGTCCCGTTACACCTGACCCGTGTCCCGGAACACCTGACCTGAGTGCGGTAGCGGTGAATGGTGACGTGTCGTCTGTGTGCGGCAGGTCTGCAGGGCGCCATGTCGGCCGTCAGCTTCCGTCCGCCGTCGCCGGCCGCCTCCGCGGCGTCGCCAGCCCGGCGCCGCTCGTCGCCCGGCCGCCGCCACGCCAGCGGCTCCCCGGCCCCGGCCGACTACAGCTCAGGTTAGCACAGACGCGCGGGGAACGGCAGGTCAGGTCAGCTCAGACTAAGTCGGACGAGGCGAGGGCCAGGTCAGGCCGGACGAAGTCGAGGGTCGATAAGGCCAATGGGTCAGGTCCTGGGGCAGAGGAGAGCAGAACACAGGTCAGGCCGGCGCCGCGGTCGGCGGGGCTGCTGAGCACCGCTGAGTCCCGGGGCTGCGCGGCCTGTCTCCCGCTAGGTCTGTACTGAATCCCCGGGCCGTGCAGCCTGTCCTCGGTCAGGTCTGTACCAGCGTAGGCCCGCAGGCGGAGCGGTGCGGCCGAACCCGCAGGTGATTGTCGTACAACCGACGTCGGCTTATGTGCTGTATGGCGGACGAACTTCCACATGGCTCTCTGGCGATTGGTTGATGTTCGCGGTGTTGATGTTGGCAGTGACGCAGGCGGCATGATTCGAATGTTCGTTCACTTCTTGGCCAATGACGCGTTGCAGTCGGTTTTTTGCCCGCATCTGCGCCGTGGTGGGGAGCGATTTGGCCCCACTCACCCTGTGCGATCGCTGCCAGTGTCGACGGAGCGATGTTGACCTGTCTGACCTTTGGCACTTGACTCACGCTGTGCTTTCTCGCCGGCAGTGAAACGTCCGGCCACGCCGTCCTCCCCCAGCGACGTGGTCATGGACTCGCCCACCCACAAACGACCCCGCCTCACCTAAGGCTAAATGAACTCGTCCGCCAGCTGCGCCGCCCAAATTATTAGCCGGAGTCGGCCGGCGACCGGCGCTGTTTTGTGCGTGTGTGTGTGTATATACGCGTGCGCGTGTGTGCGCCTGCGTGCACAGACGTGACCACTAAATTGTCGGTGGGGCCTCAGCGGCGGGGCGTGGCCCAGGGGATTGCCCGGCGCTCGCGCGGTCCGATCTCACGGCGCCGGGCCCGGACAGCGTGTCGGCGCCGCGGCCTTCGCGTGCTCGGATCCCCGGCCGGTGACGTCATTGGTCACGTCATCAGTCGGGGGCAGCCGTGCGCGCGCCTCAGGCAGCGGTCGGAGCCGGTAGTGTAGCGTCGCGTCGCGGTGTGTGCGCGGGCGGTGCGGTTGCCGCGCGGGCGGGGTGGGTGGGTAGATGGGCTGCAGCGCCGGTTGGCGGTGGGGGGCCCGCGGACGCGCCGGCGCGCTGCGGGAATCATGAGCTGCTGCGCCGGCTGGACGGCGCCCAGCAGGCAGCCGCCAGCTGTGACGCGCCGCGCTTTCTCGTTTGGCAGCGGCTGGACTCGCGGGGCCCGCCCTGTGTCGACGTTCGGTACCAAGTCAGTCGGGCTCGGTTTATTACGCGAAAAGCGAGAGGAAAAATGGCGGCGCTGTCGACAAAGTCCGAATCGTTACAACAGTTTACTTTTGGACTTGTTTAAATTTTATTTGGCGTTGAATGGGCTATGCGGTTGAAATCCCGGTGCACACTTCATCTGTTGGTACCGTGATAGGGTGACTGTTGACATTTAGGCCTGCCACAATGTGTGTTCGTTCCTTAAGGGGCTATCAAAAATGTTTATACAGCTCTGGCTTGTACCTAATTTGTTGGTTAAATGACGTTTTCCTAGATGTAGTGCCGCAAAATGTTTACCGCTTCTTGAATAAAGGAAACACCAGGCTACTTATGCATAATTGAGCCATGTGGGTATGCCATCTGTCCAAGCGCGCTGGTGACGCCGTTTTGTCACGTAACTGAGTACGGACTCCGTTCTCCAAACGTGCATGTGATGAGCGTGTACTATAAGACACAGATCGGGCTCGTGGTGGGTAGGATGAGAGTGTCGCCTTGCCCTGCCCACTGCACCAAGACGGCGTGCCAGGCGGGGTCTCAGATGTGTGTGCGTGTGTGTGTGTGTGTGCGTGTGCTTGTGTGGCCCTGGCCTGGTGCGCGGCCACCTCCCCCGGAGCCGTGGCCCGCCTGCGCCCCGCGCCTGCCAGCCAGTCTCGGTCAGACTGCCAGCTCTGAGCCCCGCGGCGCGGACCCGGGGCCGCTGCGGGTTGGTGCCGGCCCGCTGGCGGCCGGCGGCGCCACCGGCGCCCTGTGTGCTCCTCTGCGGACGGCGGCTCGATGTCGCTCTGATGCCGAACCGCCGCGGGGCCTGCTCAGCCGTGCCGCCTCAGCCGTACGGTCTCAGCCGCGCTGGGGTGGCCGTGAGGGCCGCCGTTATCGTGTGACGCCTGTTCGTGAGGTGATGGGTCCCGCCGCCCCGGTTCGTGAGGCGATGGGTCCCGCCGCCCCGGTTCGTGAGGCGATGGGTCCCGCCGCCCTGGTCCGTGAAGTGGTGGGCCCCGTCGCCCCGGTCCGTGGAGTGGTGGGCCCCGCCGCCCCAGTCTGTGAAGTGGTGGGCCCCGCCGCCCCTGGTCTGTGAGGTGGTGGGTCCCGCCGCCCCGATCCGTGAAGTGGTGGGCCCCGCCGCCCCGGTCCGTGAGGTGGTGGGCCCCGCCGCTCCAGTCCGTGAGGTGGCCCAACGCGCTTCTCTGGAGGTCGCTGTCTTGCTCTGCCCTCTCCCCATCCGCTCGCACGCCTGTCATGTTCTGAAAGTGGGGTTGCCCCTCCCCCTGACCGGGCTGTCGGCGGACCTGTCCTGCGCTGTCGGCCCAGACGCGGCGGGGTCATGAGGTGCCTGACGGGGTGCATGCGGCGGACATCGCCCGGTTGCCTGCGCGCTACCGAACCTCGCATTTGAGTCCCAGTGCGGACAGTTTGGCGGCGTGTGGCGTGTGGCTGCGATTGCGGTAATAAAGATTGCTAAAACGCGCCTGGCGTGCTCAGCGGTGCGCGCAGTGGGCAGCAGCAGCACTAATGCAGCAGACGGTGATCGGTGGGCGACGGATCGGGCAGCGTTGTCGGCGTTGAGCACCTCCCTTTGTTTCATATGTGATGTGTTCTTTCCTTCATTGACGAGCTGAATGACCGAGCTGTTTCCTGTAAGGTCTTCATTCGCGTAGGCATTGTCGGGCTGATCCGGGCATAGCGAACGAGCAAGGAAAACGAGAGAGCGAGTGCAGGTGTGCAGGCGAGAGCGACTCCCAGCGGTCTTGTTTGCTCGTTTGCTGGCCTGTCGGGGTGATGGTCGAGCTGTGATCGCGAAAGCGTGCTGTATAGAGCGATAGCACAGAGTTGTCGGTGGACCATGCGGTGCTTAGGCAGCAGTAGAACTCATAAAGCTGACACATTTTTCTTCACCATCTCAAAAAGGCCCGCCTCAATAAAACGTGTTATGTAAGGTAATTTGATATTTCATAAAAAGATTCCATTGTATGCTTGGGATCTTTGATGTGCATTGGTAAGGTGGTAAACATGAGTGCACCGGCCCCGTGAGCCCCCACGTTTACGTAATACCAAAACAACTTTTTTGAGTTATCGTTTGATACAGCACGCGCTGAGCTGGAAATGAGAAGTGCAGAGAGCTAGTGCATTTAAAGCAACGAAAAACAACAAATGGAGCTGCTCTCTTCGTCGGGTGCACGCCATGCGTGCTTTTACTGCTTGCAGTAATGTGGTCGGAAACGGTGGCTCTGTGGTGTCTCCTGCATTCTTGAGCACATCACACCCTGGTTAGTGGCTTTTGTGCCAACAACGCGATGTTTTTTTTGGTAACCGGCTGTCTCGTCACCGCCTGATGGATGATAAGCGCTCCTGGTGTCACCAACGAGCCATGCAGACGTGTGGTCGCGAAGCAGTCTCAGCCAAGCGGAGCTCCACGCGGTCAAGACTGTATGACCGGTGTTTTGTGCCAGACACTGATGCGTGGACCTCAGGCCGAGCTGGGATTCGGTCTGACAAGTTCGCGGGACACTCAGCTTGCAGCTCCTTTATTTTGACATCGGTCCCAAAGCCATCTGGGGAGATGTTTTACATAACAATAGTGCTAAGAGCGACCACTGGTGGCGCTGCCGTTCGCCAGGCCCCCCGGAGTTCCGCATGAACTGCAAATGGGCAACATGAACTGCAAGTGCAACAGTCCTGTTGCAGCCGCGGGACATAGTAGTGGACGCTGGTAGTAGAGCATAGCTCATGCGCCAGGTGCCAATCGCATGGCACCCAGACCATGTGACACTGGCCACACGCTTGGCACGTGTGGCCAGTGTCAACCTACAAACCAACATGATGAAACCATGCTCGCCGGCCACCGTTCGGTCCTGACTTGATGTCAGACGAGAGCAATAGCATAGAGGCTGATGCTAGCGTATTCCAAGTGCGCACAACTTGGGTAGTGTGCAAGTTGCGCGTAAGTGGCGTGTAGCTCTCAAATTGTAGGGTGTCGCTTGCCGCACGGCATGCGCACACCGCAAGTTGTAAGCTCCTGACCACATACTCGTAGCTCATGCACTGCGTTACACGCGCCTGTCTGGATCCGACGATGCGTAACGCTATCTGACAAAAGTTCGCGGACTTGATCTGCCCCTCCCTGCACTGCGGCAGGCCATGGTGATGTTAAAGGCGCCTCATGCAAGTTTGTGTAGCGGACGTAGCCACACGAGGGACGGGAGCGTCCTCCTCAGCTTGTATGCAGGAAGGCGTAGTACCCCAGAACTAAAGGAGACTGAAGAGTAGCGTTTGCACTAAAAGATGTTCGTGCAAACGACTGACTAGTAGTTTCCGTCGTAGATACGCAATCTGAATGATCCTGATTGACTTATTTGTCAGTCAATGATAATCTTCACCTTGTACAAATATTATACACTTGTATACATATTACTTAAAGTTTTTTAGGGTGTCTCAAATAAATAAGTCATGACGCTGCGCTTTTACGCCTTTTCACACGACAAATAAACAGAAATCAAAGCGTCTTAACGGCACAACTTCCGTGTTCGAACATGGCTTTAAAACGTGGCATCTCAAGTTGTCTTAGTTTCGTTTCCAAGTGATTTTGATTGGCGCGTTTACTGTTCTGCACACTACTGGTAATTGTGTGACCTTGGAGGGGGAGAAGGGCTTTTGCAGCCATGTCCCCCCCCCCCCCTCTCCTCTGCCTGAAGGCTGTTGGTTCCTCTGTACAGCACTTTTTGGCAGTTTAAGACGCAGGTGCTCTAAGATGCACAAATGAGCCTCGATGCATCAAAATAGAATACAAGCTCTAAAAAGGTCGCTAAAACGGATCCAGGCGACAAAGAGGGCTGAAAGGAGGACCCGATTTGACCCCTCCTAGGCCACATCCTGTCTACGCCACTGAGTACTGGTATGCATGTTGAGTCCTCCTCTGTTGGGACAGAAGGGGCAAGTCCCAAACTTTTTGAACTTGAAGATTAGGTGTTTCTCATTAAGGCACTTCTCACGCGCTCGGGTGGGGGTCAATTGACCCCATGAAGGTTTCTCCAGAATGTCTTTCAAACGGCGTGGCGTAGCCGCGCCAAACTGCAGAGCTTTAGACAATTGAAGAGCAAATCTTTTTGTTAAAACAATAAATATAACTTGTGAGGTCGCTGACCTATGGCAGGTCAAAGTCAGGCCATGGCCATCAGCAAAGTCCATTTGCAGTGAATCATTCAATCTGACGTGACAACGGGGTGTTAGACAAAGCCATTCATCTCTAAAATAGTTCCGCAGTCAATACACCAATTACATTTGGCATTGCACGCCCCATCAACCGAGGTTCAGGTATGAGGACCGAGATCAAACCCGGCCTGCTTTTTTACTCGAGAGCTTGTTGTATATGGTAGGCTCTGGTGCTCATTTCGATTTTGTTAATGACAGGGATCACAGCAGACATGTTTGATAGCCTTCTGGAAGGTCAGAATAGGTCACCGACCTAAAATACCCCAAGCCAATGTTTATTTTAGGAATACACGTCGGGCGCCATCCCTGTCGATGATTTGAATGACAAAATAGAAGCATCTTCGTAGGTTAGAGGTCGTGTTCCCCTACTCAAGGTCAAACTAGGTCATCAACATTAAATCAACATTATCTACCCTTTGCTTAGAACATATATCTAGGTTCACGGCGGTTGCTTGGAAATGTCTGGGAGCGCTTTTGACACTAATCTGGAGTTCGACCTTGCATAGCCTTTTTCAACCCCATGGTCATGACTGACCTCATACACAGGCCATCCCATCCTGTAAATTTGGTGCCTCTGGCTATCTTAGTTTTCGATATTTCAGGGGGGATGAAATTGGCCCCCACCGGAGCGAACGATATTCAGCCGGCAACCCGAGAGCGTGTTAAGAGACAGAGACATGCATTCTCCCTTTCCTGTGGTAAACTGAGCTCAGTTAACAGGGTGCGTCTGCCGTATGAGAATAAGGGGAGTTGTTAGTTACATTAACTCGTACTTCAAGCCGTAACAAGGATTTCCTGAAGAGAGGGCAAGTATCAAATGTTGTCAGAACTTTTGCGAACTTTGGACAAAGTTCTTGCGAAATCGCCCACCATCCGGAGTAAATCTCTTGGATCAGGGGGCATATCGTCTTGCCCCCCCCCCCCCCCACCCTCTCACTCTTTCCAGGCTACGTCTCTGACATGATCTCCCCCGTCTACAATAGCACTCCACGTGACTAGCTTTTTCATATGTGACAAAAATTCTGCGCCGACGTCGTCGAAGTTGGGTGTGATCCCGGGTTTAAGTCTGACTCTATCTCTAATGAAGCCCAAACCAGGTCGCTGGAGCCCAATGTGCCCGCAATTTGGCATTGGGTAGCTTCCTCAGCGTCCAGCCTTTTACACTGCATTCACACGCTTTGACGAGTGCGCGCTTCTAAAGACGAGACTAAAGACGGGGTCTTCAAAACATCCGTGGGCGGCGACCTCAGCACAGTGTCGGCTCCTTGCAGTGCTCTCATCGTGATGTACGCTCGGCTCGGGGAGTCACCACGCGGGCTGCCCCGTCACAACCCTCCATCCGGCTGAATATTGAGCCGTTCCACGCTCTGAACGGCGTCGACTCCTCAACGGCCCCCGTCGGTCGGCTCAAAGCGCCCGGTGAACCCCCGCGGACGCGCTCCTCCGACCTATGCCATCTCCGGGCCTGCTCGTGACGTCATGCAGCCTGCGGGTAAACAAGACGTCGGTGGGCGGGCCGGCGACCTCAGCTGCACGATCAATGCCGCCGCCGCCGCCGCCGCCGTCGAACGCTGACCCCGGAGACACCTGGGCCCGGCGGGCGGGCCGCGCGGCGCAGCCTACCTGCGGCGGCGGCGGCGGCGGCGGGCGGTCTGCCGTCCGCGGTGGACGCGTTTGAAGTGACGTACCGCGAGGGTCCGCGCTCCCCGGTTCGCACAGGTCTCTTGGCCCGCGCCGATTTGGCATTGATTTTGCGCCGGGCGTCCTTGCGGCGACCTTGAACCTGAACGGCGTGGGTCGAAATAGCCGGGCGACGGCCGAGCGCGGCCGAAAAACAACGGTGGAGCGAGCTCCGGAACGGCTGACGGTTTGGCCACAGGGGGAGGAATTCCTGTCCAACTGCAGAGACACCACACGACACATCAGGGCGGCCTTCTGCTTGGTCACAGGGGGATGCGGTCCTGTCCCTCTGCAGGGATGCCACGTGACACAGCAGTTGGCAGATACACAGCACGGCACTATACAGTGCTCTCCCTCGCAGCCCATGCAACATGAGGTGGTGGGACGTGGCATTGACGTTCACGGTAGAAGTGAGCGATGTGCAGTGTTGCTGCATACCGCCCAGCATCCGCGCGCAGCATACGCAGCATGGGGCAGGCACAGAACGCACTGGCAGGCGCCGAGCAGCACGCCGCCAGAGACAGAACAACACTAGCACAGCACGACACTGAATATGACACCGCAACGACACGCAATGCACGTTCTAGCGCAACACAAAACGACGTAACATGTCACCGAGGGCGGTGGCAGATACGAACATGTCACCGCGGACGGTGGGCAGATACGGACATGTCACCGCGGACGGTGGACAGATACGAACATGTCACCGCGGACGGTGGGCAGATACGAACATGTCACCGCGGACGGTGGACAGATACGGACATGTCACCGCGGACGGTGGACAGATACGGACATGTCACTGCGGACGGTGGGCAGATACGGACATGTCACCGCGGACGGTGGGCAGATACGGACATGTCACCGCGGGCGGTGGGCAGATACGGACATGTCACTGCGGACGGTGGACAGATACGAACATGTCACCGCGGACGGTGGACAGATACGGACATGTCACCGCGGACGGTGGGCAGATACGGACATGTCACTGCGGACGGTGGACAGATACGAACATGTCACCGCGGACGGTGGACAGATACGGACATGTCACCGC